CACACTGGAGACATTCAAGAGATGGATCACACCAGATAATGAAGGGACCAGAACAACGCTGACATGGCGAAAGGCTGAGAGAGCTGGGGCTGTTCAGCACAGAGAGGAGTCCCAGAGAATCCCAGTGTGGTGGGGTTGGGAGGGACCTCTGGAGACCATCTCATCCCACCCCCTGCTCCAGCAGCTCACCCCCAGCAGGGTGCCCAGGGTCACAGCCAGCCACGTTTGGGATCTCTCCAGAGCAGGAGACTCCACAGCCTCTCTGGGCCGCTGCTCCAGGATCCAACACCCTCCCAGCAGAGCAGTTGCTCCTCCTGCTCAGGTGGCACCTCCTGGGTTCCAGTTGGTGCCCGTTGCCCCTTGTCCTGTCCCTGGCACCACTGAGCAGAGTCTGGCCCCAGCCTCTTGCCCCCCGGGGCCCTTGAGCTCTTGCTCAGCACTGCTCAGATCCCCTCTGAGGCTTCTCCTCTCCAGCTCAGCAGCCCCAGGGCTCTCAGCCTGGCCTGGCACAGAGATGCTCCAGCCCCTCAGCAGCTCTGCAGCCTCTGCGGGACTCTCTCCAGTAGCTCCTGGTCTCTCTGGAACTGGGGAGCCCAGACCTGGCCCCAGTCCTCCAGAGGTGGCCTCAGTGGGGCAGAGCAGAGGGGCAGGAGAACCTCCCCTGACCTGCTGCCCACACTCTTCTCCCTGCGTCCTGGGAGACCGTTGCCCTTCTTGGCCATGAGGGTAGAACAGTCTCTTTGGTGTGGTATTATTAGCTTCAGTCTTCCTGGATCTTCCCCAGGTCAGGCGTTCTTGTGAGAGTTCCACATTTGGTATCTTGTATCATTTGAATAAGTGCATCTTGAATAAACAGTTGCATATTTAACTATAATTTTTCAGAGGTGCTTATGTGGCATTTGACAGCAGTTTTGGTGACTTCATTTGTCAGGTACTGGAGGAATGCTGGTGCTGGAGGCATAGTTGGTAGCCAAAAATACACAAGAATTCAGAACATGGGAATACGTAGAATTATTAGAAATTATATAATTATGTGACCACTACACATGGGTTACTGCTGGGCCCTGTCATTACTTTGCATCATTAGCTGGTGCTTAAATAACCTGTTCTTCCAGAGCTCTTCCCACATGGAAACTGGATGTGTGAACTGCAACAAAATACTGGGGTGTGAAGCTGTGCACGTGGCTGTGTTCAGTGCCTGCTGGGGGGCTCACTCCTGGCTGTCTTCCCACAGTTCATTTTTACCTTATCAGAACTATTATCTATAATTCGTATTTTTAAAAAATTAAAATGAAAAGATTTAGGGTTGATCCACACAAAACCCACAAGTCCACTGCAGTACAGAGCTTCTTTGCCCAGAACTGAGTGCCTGGTCCTGCAGGGGGTGCCCCAGCTGGGGAGAATTTGGAGTTCAAAATGAAGTGAACCAACTTCTGGAGTATGCCTGAGATTGTTCCATGAGGCTGGGACATGTAGATACAGATAATCTCTGCTGCTCTTGGCTGCCAGAGAGATTACAGGGGATAACACAGTGGTTTGCCTCAGCAGGCAATTAATGGCTCTTCATTGAATTATAGCATCTATCTATAATTGGTCTTAAATTTACAGCTGTAGAGCCCAGTGGCAACGTTAAGATATTAAGATATTAATGCTTCCCAGTGGCAACCCTCAGCTGTGTTTGCTGAACTGCCAGAAACTGTCAGAAAAGCTCAGATGCTGGGCAGCCTCTTTTTGTGGTAGCATAAGGGCTGATGAATTCCCAGAACGGTTGGGGTGGGAAGGGGCCTCTGGAGGTCTGTGCTCCAGGCTCCTGCTGACGTGGGAGTGGGGTGAGGTAGCTGAGGCTCTCAGTCAGCTGAGGATGAAGGTTACACGGCCTCTCTGAGCCCTGTCCTGGGGCTGCTGCCCTCCTGGGGAGACTTCTTCCCTTCTGTCCTGTTGGGCTTACTCCTGCTGCATCTTTTGCCTGTTGCCTCTTGTCCTTTTGCTGATAATTCTCTGAGAATCACAGAATCATAGAATTTATTTGATTGGAAAAGACCTTTCAGATCATGGAGTCCAAGCATTAACCCCAGCACTGCCAGGTCCCCACTGCCCCGTGTCCCTCACACCACATCTCCAGGCTTGGGAACCCCTCCAGGGGTGGGGACTCCACCACTGCCCTGGGCAGCCTGGCACAGCCCTGGACAACCCTCCAGGGCAAGAAATTATTCCTAATATCCAAACTAAACCTCCCCTGGGGCAACTTGAGGCTGTTTCCTCTTGTCCTGTCCCTTGTTCCTTGGGAGCAGAGCCCGACCCCCCCCTGGCTCCAGGCTCCTGTCAGGAGCTGTGCAGAGCCAGAAGGTCTCCCCTGAGCCTCCTTTGCTCCAGGCTCAGCACCCCCAGCTCCCTCAGCTGCTCCTCCCCACACTTGGGCTCTAGACCCTTCCCCAGCTTCGTTGCCCATCTTTGGACACGCTCGAGTGAGAAGCCAGGCTCCATCTCCTCTGTACCCCACCTTTGTCACAGGGTACAGTCGTTTGAAGGTTAAATCACCTTTGCCTCTTTTTGCAAGCCAGTATTAAAATTACTTGAAGGGCACTGTGACTTTCTTAGTAGTAAGTACCTCATTGGAGTGGAGTGGGAGTCAGGAGACTGGAGTCCAGATTCAAAATAACCTGAGAGTGGTTCAAGCATTTAACAAAAACCAAATCAACTAAAAACCTCATTCAGTGTCAGTTCACCTTAGAGGTGCACAGATGCCTCTGTCTTGTTTGGCCTAGAAGGTTTCTGGGTGCTGTAGCTCTGGTCTCTGTGTTCCCAGAACAGCCCTAGACAGTGTAGCTGGGCAGTGAGCTCTGGTGTAGAGAATTTCCTTTGAGGAGCCTGAGCCCACTGGTCATCCTTAGACATCCTGGCCTTGAATGCCATGGCCTTGACAGAACACTAAGTCAGGTTAAAATCTGGGCTGGTGTCCATCTCTGTAGAAGAACCTGCTGTGCTCGTGGTCTGGGGCAGCTGAGCTGATCTCCCAGCCTGGTGCTGCTCAGCAGAGCTGTCCTGGTTTATCACTACCCAGAGCCTCTCCCTCCCTCCCTGCAGTGCCTCTGGTGCTTGTTGTGCCCGTCCCTCACACAGCCCACAAAAAGGGCAGAGTTTTGTCAGGGCTGATGAGCACAAGAGTTAGCTCAGGGTACAGGCCTAGGACCTCCTGGAAGGGGCAGCAGGACCTTGTTCTGAGTGGCAGTGAGCCTTTAGAGCAGGCTGGTTACCTCTCAGCCTGTCTCTCTTGCTCAGGGAGGGTGAGGGTTGTGTTCCATGCCCTGTGCAGCCTGAGGACACTCCAGCTGGGCCCTTCTCCTTGCCAAGAACCAGCCTTGCCTTGCTCCGAGCAGCTGCTTGCCGAGGTCCCTGCCCACAGGCTTGCTCACTGAAATGGTTTGAAACTCCTGCTGCTCCTGGGGGTGGAGACTGGAAATCTAAAACCAGGAGGAGCCTGAATGAAAGGGGCAGAGACCTGTTCTATTCCCACTCCCCTCTGCCTGCTGGGGTCTGTAGAGGGGAGGGGAGGCCAGGCCTCTCTCTGCTGGGGTCCTGGCCGTTTGTGCTTCCCTGTGCTGCACGTGGCCATGGCCATCTTGGGCCCTGGGCCTGAGCTACAGACCCTTCCCTGCCTCCATCCACGTCCAGGGATTGTGCATCCA